GATGGGAAGGGCCGCGCCGAGGACCGAGCTCCCCGCAAATCGAGGCCCCGACACCTTGCGAACTCCCAATGGGTGCTGGGCGGGTCGCTCGTCGAACGAGAGGAAGAGCGAAACCGACTCAGTGCCGGTGAGGTACGGCACGCGTCGCTGGGCGCTCAGAGCCGCGTTCTCTGCTCGCCGCCCCGACTCCGAAGGCGCCCGAATCGAACGACAGTCGGCACGCGAAGACTGGTTGCAATCTCGCCGACCCCCAGTCCGCGGGATGATGTGTGCGTGGTAATTGGAGTGGGTGTCGGAAGCTCTACTATAGTCGTAACAGCGAGGGCGGCCGGAGCCGGCGCTGTGCGTCGTGCTCTGCAGCGGCAGGGTGTGCTGCTCTCTAACGTGCTCGCGCGGCGGTCCCGCCGGGCCCCGCGCCCTCGCCGCCCGGCCGGGGCTGGAGAGGCTCAGCCGAGGTCGATGCCGCGCTCCTCGCACACGGCCACCAGCTCAGGCTTCTTGTTGTCCACCCAGTTGCCCACGATGAGCCTCTGCAAGCGAGGGGAGGAGTGATGAGCATTGGACGGGGGAGGGGCGTGTGGCGAGGGGAGGCGTCTCGCGCCTTCAAGCTCGGGGCGGCCCCCTCCTTGAGGGCGGCGGCCAGCGCCTTCCAGCCCTCGTCGCTAAGCTTGTTTTCGTTGAGAGAGAGCGTCTCGAGCCGCGGCGCTGCCCCCTCCTTGCCGAGGGCGGCGGCCAGCGCCTTGCAGCCCTCGTCGCCAATCTCGTTGCGCTGGAGAACGAGCAGCTCGAGCCGCGGCGCTGCCCCCTCCTTGCCGAGGGCGGCGGCCAGCGCCTTGCAGCCCTCGTCGCCAATCCGGTTGCCGCCGAGATAGAGCTTCTCGAGCCGCGGCGCTGCCCCGCTCGCGAGGACCTCCGCCACCTGCGCCGCCTCCGCGTCGCCCCAGCCGAGGCCGTTGTAGAGCAGCTCGGTCGCCTTGCCAAACTGCTCCTCGAAGGCGGCCTCGTACAGCCGCTTCACCAGCGGCTTGTCGTCCTTGCCGTTGGTGAAGCTCTTCGACTCCAGCTCCGCCGCGAACGCAGACGGCAGCAGCGGAGGGCGCCGGCCGCCGTCCTTGCTGCAGTCGGCTCGGAGCCTGTAGTAGTCATACTCCACGCCGGCGCGCATCTTGCCGAGGTCGAGCGAGAGGGTCCAGGCCTTTGTCAGGCCAGCCCAGCTCTGCTCCGTGTAGCACCAGCCGCGGTCAAAGTACTTGGCAACGTTGGTGCCCTCGGCCTGGTCCTCCGCCTTGTGGCCGTCCGGGAAGGAGGTCAGCCGCAGCACGGTCGTGTGCTGGTGGGAGTAGAGCGTGCCGAGGCAGCCCAAACCCTGCTTGAAGAGCGCGTTCTGCTCCTCGGTGCGCAGGACGCCGTTGGGGGGGTCGGGGTGCTGGTGCAGCGAGCCGAAGTCCCAGAAGACGCCGAGCCGCGTGATATTTCCGTAATTGTTAGTGAGCAGGGCCTTGAGCGCCCTTGCGACGCGGGCGAGGTTGGCTCCGAGCGGGTCGGGGTGGTCCTTGGTCAGCCACGGGTAGGAGAGCGCGGCGACGGGAAGGCTGCTCACACCATCGCCGGTCGCCTCGACGAGGTCGGCGAAAGAGAGGAAGGCCTCCTTGGGCAGCGCCTGGCGGTGGGTGAGGACGCCGCCCGCCTCGGCGTGGCTGATGACCCACTGCGCGTCGAGGACGGCGACGGCGCTGCTCGCGAGGACACACTCCAGGTCGCCGCCGCCGAACTTGCGCCACTTCTCCAGCTTCTCCTCGCTCACGCCGAGATCGGTGGCGGAGGGGAGGGCGGCGGCCGGCTGCGTCGGCGCGGCGGAATCGGCGAGATCGGCGGCGGAGGGGAGGGCGGCGGCCGGCTGCGTCGGCGCGGCGGTGTCGGCGGGCGTCGGGGCGTCGAGTTCGACGGCGGGAGGTCCGGGCAGCTCCTCGGTCGGGGCCTCGACGCGGCTGGAGAAGCAGCCCATCGTGAGAAGTCGATCGACTTTGCCCAAGGACACAGGTGTTGGCGGTCTCTCTAACGCCGCGGTCAAAAGAGACCGACGGACCTTGAATTTCGGCGGACGCCGAAATCAAAAAGAACTCATTTCCGGCACTGCTGTGAAGACAGAGGAACGAGAGAAGAATATAGGGTGGATAAAGCGCCTGTTCACGGCATGGAGGGTGAGCCACACCGAACGTACCGAGCGAAGAGCCGAACGGAAGGAGGACGGGGAAGATGACTCCGAGGAGGACGAACCAGTGGAAATTCAGTTGTCAGATGTCACGATGCATCCGAAGGGGACCCCAGCGCCGGCATCATCCGTAGAGGCACGAGTGTTCGAAGAGAGAGTGGACCTGAGCAACAACATGACCTGTAGGCAAATGATCGGAGTGGGAGTCAGAAATGTGGTCCTTGCGCGAGGGGAGCTCGATAGACTCGAGGGGCCAGGATATGCAGCAAGGAGGGCGGAGCTGCGCCGAAAGGCGAAAGAAGCCGAGAGAACAAGGGAACGGCAGGCGGCGGCGGCGCAGGACGAGGCAGAAGAGAATGACGCGACAGAGGAGGAAGTGACAATGGCTGCGCGCAGGCGGCGCCGCCGGTCGTCGCAGCGCGCCGGCCGCACTGGGCCGCAGCCGCAGGCCGGCGCCATTGGCGCCAGCCTTTGGCGCTGTAGGCCTATGTTGCACGCCGCGGAGGGACGTACGTGCAAACTTTTTGATGCGCGCGCCGACCGCGCCTTCCGGCGGGTCGGGCGCGCTGCGAGCGAGCGCTGGTAGGCGCTGGGTAGCGCGGGGGGCGGCGAGATTCCCCGCCATTCGGGCAAATCTGTGTCTCAACGCTGCTGCGAAAAGAAATACGAACGTGTCTCAAACTCGAATCGTCGATCGAATCATAATAATGTGTATTTCACACAAGACTGTGAACACACCCACAGGACGCCGAGTACAAGACAATAGGAAGGGAGTGTACTCAGGCAGTCAGGGACGGATGAGTCAGAACATACTAAGAGCACCTAAAGGAGCAAGGCATAGCTGTGAAGTGGTTTCCACTGACACCTGTGTACCTGTGGCTTAGCTGTGTTGAGAAGACGATCGAGTTTCTCAGCGAAAAAAAAACAGGATTCACGAGACCCGTGTTAATGGCCCTGCGACCGCGCACCCCCCGGGGCTAGGGCTTTCTTGCCCGCAACCCGATCCCGATCATCCGGCCCGCTGGGCGCGCTTCTCAGCTCCCCGGCCCTGGATGTGAGGCTGCTAACTTCACTCCAAGTGCTCCAAGTTTATTTACACAAAAACAGAACCCCGCCAAGTGCTCCCAGTGCAACGCGGCGCGGCGACGCCCCCTTAAAGAAAACCCGCCCGCACTCTCGACTCAGCGCAGCTAGTCGTACACGGTGAAGCACTCCTCCCTCCCCCCCTGCTGCACCGCCGCTGTCGCGGGCGCCGCTTGCCCCGCCTTCCCCGCCTTGGCCGCGGCCTATTGCAAGAACACCCGCGAGGAAGAGCTGAGCTGGGTGGTGAGTGCTCGAGTCTTGGCGAGGGGGGGTCCGCCGAGGTTAGCTGTGCGGTGTCCATTGAACGCCCACCCACTCTCGGCGGGCTTACCTCCCTCCGCGCGGCGTCGCGCTCCCGCCGCTCGCGCGCCTTGGCCTCCTGCCTCGCCCGCAGCGCCCTCGCCTCCTCCGCCGTCAGCGCCGGCCTCGGCGGCGGCGGAGGGATCAGCCGCTGCGCCTAGTAGACGAAGGAGCAAGCTTGAAGATCGATTAAGGAGGAGCGTCGTAGTGGCGGTCGCTGCTCGAGCGCCTCGTGCTTTCGATGCATCTCCTCCCACCACCGCTCCAGCGAGCGAAGGTTCTCCTCGGCTTGCTCCCGCAGCGCGGTCGTGCAGACGCGCTGGTGCTGCAGCGTTTGCGCCGGCTGAGGCGCAGGTGAGGGTGTAGCCCAGCGCGTATCCCCACGTTTTGATCCGTCCCTTTTTCCCCCCAAAAAAAACCTTTAAAAATTTCGCTGGGATCTGCACCTCGATCATCACTGCAATCTTGCCAGGGAGGCGCCAGAAGGGGCCGCTCTGGACCGCTTTGCTCATCGAGCCGCGGTTCATCTCCTCCACCTGAGCGCGCGGCTGCCTGGGGTCCTGTCTCAACCGAAGGGTCAGGGGGCGGGGGGCGGCGGGCGGCATGCCTGACTCAGTGCCTGCTGCAGCACCGCCTCGCGCGCGGCGCTATGCTTCGTCGTGTTGCGGCCGACCGGCCATAGCTTGCGCCGCAGAAAACGCTTGATGCCTATACTTGCAATCCGCGGGGCGGCTGTAGCGCCCGTCTCATGCCGCAGCTCGCGCCGGGGGAGCGATGCCGCGGCACTGCTTGTCCAACCAGTTGTCCGTGGATATCGCCATCTGCGAATTGGCGGGGGGTGCGAGACCCTCGTCCGCGAGGACAATATCGGCCACGTCTCGGCTGTCTCTCGGCTGTCTCTCGGCTGTCTCTCCGCTGTCTCCTCGCTGTCTCTCGGCTGTCTCTGCTCTCGGCTGTCTCTCTCAGGCCCTCCTGCTTGAGGTCCTCCGTCTCGTTGGCCGCCACCCGCTCCACCTCCGTCTCCTCGACGACGTGCCCGTACCTAAAGGGGGGCGGGGGTCGACAAACGGCCCCTCCACAGCTCGGGGGCATCTCGGGCGAGATCTCGGCGACGTCTCGAGCCTCAGCCACATGTCCAGCTGTGTCTCCCCACATCTTCCCATATCTCTCCATATCTCGAGCCTTAGCCACTTGTCCAGCTGTGCCACTAGCGTCGGCCCGTCCATCGGCACGACCTCCTTGCAGGGCCGGAACAGCAAGCGCCCCCCCCCCCGCCGTGGCTGGGCGTCGCCGCAGCGGTGCACAGGCTGCAAGCCCCGCAGGGTGGCGGCGCGGAGAGCGTCCGCGTCGGCGAGGTAGGCCTGTGAACGGAGTTTTGTCGGCTGTCCGTGTGTGCGGCCTGGGGCCGGGGTTGTGCTCTTGCGTGACCGGAAGGTGGTGCCGCTCGTCGGCGACTTGACGCGCCATTAGCCGCACAGCGCGGCCGCATCTCGGCTACATCTCGCCGGGGAAAGCTCGGCGCTCTTGTGCGCAGCGAGATTAGCGACCACCTGATCATCGGGGAGCTGGATTAGCCGAGGTGCAGCTCATGCACAGCCGAGGCGAAGAGATGCGGCCGAGGATGGTAGGAGGTTATATGCGTTGGGCTGTGGCGTCCACCTCGTCGTCGGCGTGCGGCCTGCGGATCCGGCAGCAGTAACTGACCAATGCTTCAACTAATTAATAATAACTGGTGAACGAAGTAATTAGGCCTGCGGATCGGCAGCAGCGTCGGCGACTCGAAGAGGCGCTCCACGAGCCAGGCCGCCGAAGACGACGCGCCGGTCGGGGCGATGAGGGAGGTGATTGCAGCGGCGCCCGCCTCCGGCTTGCTCGACGCGTTCCGGAGGTGGGAGAGCAGTGCGGCGGCGTCCAGCCCCGTGTTGGCGAGCTGGTGCATGTTGAACGACTGCACCGACCAGAGAAAGCTCGGCTGGCGACGGTGCGTCCACACGTTCGCGTCGGAGAGCGACTTGATCATCTGCATCGTTCGAAGCGCGTGCCGGTTCATCTGGCTGACGGTGGACGCGTCCACCGGAAACATCGAGTTGTAGACGACCGCCGAGGAGAGCAGGTAGGTGATGCCAAACATGTTCGCTTCATACGTGCGCGAGGTGAGGCTTCCCACGCCGCTGAAGCCCTCGGTATCGATGAGGAAGGCGCGCACTGGCTTCTCCTAAACCACGGCTCGAGCTGTAAAGATGACGCCACGCCTCACGCGGAACTGTGTCGCCGACAGGAGGCGGGGTGTGAGCACTGCTACTGCGGTTGCCTCGGAGCTGCCGCGGAGGAGCACTGGCTCCGACGTGATCCACACACCGCCAGTGAAGGAGGTGACGCCGCTCCCAATCTCGAAGAGGTTCTCATCCTCGCCGCGCAGAAGGCGCGGCCGAGGATTGACGACTTCCCCTCCGGGTGGGGCCGACAACAGAGATGATTGCAAACGGCTGCTTCTGCGCACGGGGGCCCCGGGGGGGCAGCACGGCTAGGCCCTACTACAGGCCAAGTCAGGTTTTTGCTCATGGTGCATTCACTCACACCACCGCAGTACAATCGATTGAGTCCGGGTTTTTTATGCGTATGGTTGTAAGGCTAAGGGCGTGGGGACCCGCCCCAGGACAGGCTCTGGCGTTCTGATGGAGCGCTCTGGTGCCGACCGAGGAGAGCCGCTGGCACGAGGTAGATGTGAAGCCACGACGGGTCGGTACAGCAGGCCGACCAGAGAGTGCAGAGTGAGCACTGCCCCTCTCCAAGATCGACTCCTGTGAAGAAGCCCGCCTAAAAACCGCCATAAAAACGGTATGTCGGTAGAGTGCTCTCTACTGCCACGGCGCCCCTGTCGGTTCGGAGGCGCCCGACGGCCGCGCGCTTGTCGCCGACGTCGACCGGCTGCTATCGCGGCGCCGAGTCGTGCGGCTTTGGTCACGTCTCGCGCGCTGCGAGGATGGTGTCTTTTGGCATGCTGGCGCTTGGCAAAGACTCGCTACCCAACGCGGCCAAAGGATATCCACCTCGAGAACCTCGAGAAAGACGCCAGCAAGCTCGCCTTGCTTGCCTGCGGCCGCGGGCGTGCGGGTGGGCCCGCCAGGCTCGGCGAAGCTCGGCGCGGGTCTTCGAGCTCGCCGCCGGCGGCGAGCCAGCATAGCTCGTCGCTCGACGGGAGCCTGTCCGGTATGCTCTGGGCATCCATGCTGTACAGCATCGCCAAACTCTCTGGGAGGGTCTACAGGGCCAGGGCGGGCCGGCTCGGGCGCGATTGCGCGCTCAATACTACCACGACTACCTGCTCTCGAACCGGGCCGCCGACAGCGGGCTTGTGCGGCGCGCCGCTCGACGGCAGGCTGCTCCTCACCCTTCCGACAGCATCTGCTGTCTCGCTTCTCTCGCTGCGACCGCATCCGGCGCGGGGGCCTGCGCCGACCTCCTCGCTTCGCCAGCGCTGCCTATGACTGCGGCACGCACGTCGGCTCGCCGCCCGCGTCGCCCGCGGCGGGCCCGCATAGCGCGCCGCTCGTCGGGGGAGTGCCGAGGAGGTTGAGGAGTACAGGCTGCCTCGCTCAGACCGCGTCGACGCGGTGCGGGGCCGCTGTCGGCGCTGCTGCCGAGCTCCTGCGCTGTGTTGGCTTCGCCATCGTGTACTGAGTACGTCGCCGACGCCACCTGCCGCTCGCCACTGCCTTGGACTTCCCTGCCATCAGGCAAACACACACACACACACACACACACACACACACACACACACACACACACACACACACACACACACACACACACACTATTAATAATCGGGTAATAATTTGTATTAATTATTAATCATCAGCGACACACAGACACAAACAAGCTCACAAGACACACAGCCAGCTGGCTGCCACACACCCTGAGTCGGCGTACACATAACTCAGGACCACATCCTCCCTGTCGCCCCCCCCAGCACTCCACGGTGCCAAGGGCACAAACAAGGGCACAACTCAAACAACAGGAGAAGTTTGGGTAGTGCCATTTCACTGTGGCACAGCCCGCGTTACAAAACCTTGATTTGACCATTTGCGCAAAAAGGTACCTCTCGGTGCCTTCCAGAGGCAGCTGCGACCACGCCGAGTAGACGGCGGCACACAGCAGGGGGCGCGGTGTGCCGCCGTCCACTCGGCGGGGTCGCAGCTGCCTCTGCGCGTCCTGGGGATGTACCTTTGTCGCGCGCCGGAGACGACTCGACGCCGCTGAGATCGGAGATCAAGCTCTGACAGGTCGCACGTCGCTCCTTTGACGCCGACGTGACTTCCCCGTGCAGATCAC